AGATAGCAGCTAATAAGAATTTTTCACTGCAGCTTGCAAGTCAAATGAGTTTTTTATGGCATGACAGGAAGCTAACAAACATTAGAGGAAAGGTTGTGACAGATCTCTGTGTGTCTCATCTCTCTGGCTGCTTGCACACATGTCAGACAGCTCAGCTGGTTCTGTGAAAATGCACTGGGATCACCATATTCCCCCAGAAGGCTAAAAGGGCCAAGTGTCTTCATACTGCATGAGGGGGGATGGAACTCCATCTCTGGCATTCCCAAAGCTAACCAAATAACCATCATCTCAACAACACAGCTGTAAGGAGAAGCTGTGAAAAATCTAGTCCCAAAAGGCTGTGTAAATACCAGCACCCTCTTATCCTCTTTCCAAACATGTTGCCTGTTTTCCCTCTAAAGGGGTGATGGCTACCAGGGTCTCCGCCTTTTCTAAGCTTCTGGTGAAAGAGTTAACGTCTCCCTGAGGAGGAAGGGCTCCACCTTTCCACCCTCTGAGGATGGAAGCATAAAATCTTGCAAGCCCTGAGAACTCTGTCTCTCAGTCTCTTCACAGCAGGAAGGATCAGCCCCTCCAAAAGCAGGCACACTAATGGGGTAGTAAAGATTTCCTGCTCCCAGCACAAGGGAATGCAGAAACAGCCAGCAGGCATCAAGACCAAGTGTTAAGAACTAAAGCAGTTCCTTGAATCAATCACGGATTGCACAGCCTGGGGATCACTCTCAGCTCTCTGTGGCAGTTGTGAGTGATCTATACATCCACATAGATATATCTAGACAGGTGGGAATGAGATACATCTCTCTGGGTACATTTATTAAAACATGATGGATTTGTATATATGAATAGGGACATATCCAAATCCTACACACTTAAATGTGAAAATCAGGTGAAGGCAAATCTCTGTTGGAAGACAGGAATTAATTCTGAAACCATTAGTTCAGTGGGCTCCTTGTTTATGAACATTACACTAATGAACTGTGATACAAAAGTGACAAGAGAGATGATTAGTTACGGATTGCAAAATAAAGAGGTACTTAAAGATCTGATGCCAAAAGACATTTGTGCAGTTCCACAATACTCTTTTTCAGAAGGTTTAAGGCTCACACAATGATCACTCAGAAACCACGTTGACACATCTCTATAGTATTTCCCAACAAAGAAAACCAGGCTATTTTCTCACACATTTCTGGGAAGTCTTTTCTTTTTTTTTTTTTTTTTTAGGATTAAAATAAGATGCAATTGTATTCTTAACTTTTCAAATTATAAAGACTGATTTCAGCATTTTAACACCCAAGCAGATATAATAAACCACATGAGCTCAGAGCTCTCATTGCACTGCTTTTATCCTGCCTCCTGCACTTACAGGTTCATTTCTGCAGAGAACAGGTTAATGCACTCTGCTGTGGGGGAAATAAATAAACAAATTGTTCATGCTGACCGAGTTACAGAGTTACAGAATCGCTGATGCTGGACGAGGACTCTGGAGATCACCTACTCCAGCTCCTTGATAAAAGCAGGTTCAACTCGAGCGGGCTGCTCAGAGCCAGTGACACAGCTGCTCGCCGACCGTCCTTTCCCCATGGCGAAAGCCACGTTACTCGAGCGCACCCTAGTGAAAATCCCGTAGAAGCCTTTTTTCTGGTTTTAAATCCTGCAAATACCTATTTCTAGCTATCGGTGTTTCGCTGCCTTCATGCTAGGGTCTGGACTGTAAAATACACACCCAGTAAAGCAAACAAGAAGAGGCAGATACCTCAGACCTTTACAAAAATCCAGTTAGGTAATTTACCTGCCTATGAATTACACTAAATTGCTTTTTGCAATGAGACACTGAACACAAATTGCACAGGTCTTCACAAACGTCCTGCAATCCTTTTCACTTTTTCTTTTGAGTATTTTCCTTTCTACATAGAGATTATGTTGTTGCCGTTTCAGAAGAGGTTCATATTTCTGTAAATTAAAATCATAGAATCAATCACAGATTCAGTACAGTTGTCTTTTTTGGCTGCCAGGGCACATTGCTAATTCATATTCAATTTGCAACCAATCCAGATCCCTGGATCACTTCCTGTTGGACTGCTTTACAGCCGATTGTCCTCTAGTTTGTATTCATAACCAAGACTCCTCCTTTCCCTGGTGCAGAATCCAGCACTGGCTCTTGTAAAATTTCATACAGTTGGTGACTGCTCAGGTCTCCAGCCCATCCAGACCTCTCTGTAAGGCCTCCCTACCTTACAGGGAGTCCACAGCTCCTCCTACTTTAGTGTCATCAGCAAACTTACTTCATGTACATTCAATTCCTGCATCCAGATAATTTATAAAAACATTAAAGAGCACTTGCCCTAATACTGAGCCCTGGAGAACCCTGCTGACGACTGTCTGCCAGCCTGATGCAACCCCGTGTTACTCTTTGAGCCCAATCTGTCAGCTAATTGTTCACCCAGTACATGATGGACTTGCCTAGCTGTGTGCTGGACAATATGTACAGAAGGATACTGTGAAAAATAGTAACGGGACTTTGCTAAAATAAGTAATTTTGTTAAAGTCTACTGGCTTCCCTTGGTCAGCCACATGCGTGACCTTGTCATAAAAGGAAATTAGGTTAGTTTAAAGGAGGACTTTCCCCTTACGAACCCCTGCTGGCTAGGGCCTCCTTTCTTACCCTTCTTGAAAACTGGGAGAACATTTGCCACCTTCAAGGTGACTGGCACCTCTCCAGGGTCCCAAGACCACTGGAAAATAACAGAGAGAAGTCTCACAATAACGTCAGCCAGTTCTTCCAGTACCCTGCGATAGATCCCATCAGAACTCACAGATTTATGTGCATCAAGCTGGAGCAGCAAGTCTCAAACAAGTTCAGGGTCCGCTGGGAGTCTTTCATCCCCCCAGTCACTAAATTCAAAACAGGTCTCCAGGGGGCCCAGGGCCCATCATTGGCGTTGAAGAAAGAGGTGACTAAGGCATTAAAAGCCTCTGCTTTGTCTGTGACTTTATCTGTGAGGTTTTTGACCTCATCAAGCAATGGATCAATATTATCTTTGATCTTCCTTTTGCTGTTAACATAATTTAAAAAGCCCTTTTTGCTGTCCTTCGCAAGTTCTGGCCAACTTGAGCTCCAATCAAGCTAAGGTCACACTAATTTTCTCCCTGCAGTGGCAAACAGTATCTCTGTAGTTTTCCTGTGTCACCTGTCCTTTCCAAAGTCCATACATCCTCAGCTTATGAAGTTCAGTACAGTCTCTACCTAATTTCACAATGCAAATCTAAACCTGTTTCTGACACCAAATATGTAGGTAATGCTATATTGTTAGCAGCAGGGGATTTAAGATAAAACCACTTATGCATCCTGACTGCGTCTTCTCATGGCAAGGTGATTTTAAAGACAGAGTTAAGAATAAATATACAAAATATTTATAGAAAGTAAACTAAGGAAAGGATCTAAAATGGTAAATGCTTCAGACTCGCAATGGGCGTAAATAATCTCACAGTAGCCACTTGCAGAAGGTGCCATAACAATAAAGAGACCTTAATAAATAGTCCTGAAACTACTTAATCTGCCAGATAAACCTCTCTGAAGTATTCAATTAAAATGCACATGGCTAAGATAAACTATAGTAAGACATACACATTTTTATTTACTACCACTATTAATTCTCCACTTTCAGGACATATTGCTAGTTGTGCCTTTATAATTCTTTGAACTGCATCTGACTGTGATGTGCACTTGTGCGCTTATCTGATACCTTATCTTTAGGCAAACTTAAAACAACTGTGGGATTTCCCATACTTACAGATGGCTCCCCACTGCTTAAATGAATAAGGAAAAGAGAAAAACCCACCAGCCTCTCATTTTGTGCTACAACTGAACAAACTCCCTTTAGTTGTCACCTGTTCCAGAGACCTGCACAGACACCTGAACCAGTCTTGTTTTGCTGCTGAATCCTGCAGGGCCAACACGTGCAACTGAACATAAACCCATTCTGACCAAGACATCTGGTATTTGTATGGTACTATTCATGGTTCCCAGCTGTCAAAGCACAGCACATCCTCTACTACTGGCTAGGAACAGAGCTATTTAGGTCAATCAGTACTTAACCATCCCAGGCTTTGCCCTCAGCAAAGTAGCCACAGTACAGACAGCTAAATCTGTCTTTTGATGCAGTTTTGTAATGCTCATGAAGAGCTATGCTTGAGCTAACTAACATCAGTGCCTGGGATAACCCACACCAAGGGTAACCGAGTGCTGACAGTACACATCACCCAACTGAAATTACATTCTGCTCAAGATCACTTGATAACACTTCCAAACCTACTGCTCAGTTTAAATATACATATATATATATGTATGTATTTGTTTTCTATCCATTAGACTGTTACCTCCTTTAAGAGGGCATATCCCTTGTTTCTAATCAAATGGATGCAAATGGCCCAGTCCATAGCACAAAGCCAAACTAAAAGTAGTCTTTCATCAAGCTGTATTTCACTCAGGAAGGGACAATCATCAGCCACAGGACTTGGCCCTGCCCCACTTTCTTCTCTTGAAAGAAGCATCAGTTGTTTGATGGTTGAGTGTACAGGTTAAATGAGTAAATTCTCTTAACCTTTCAATCCTATGTTAGATCCTGCTGTGCCTGTGAAGCTAATTAAATTAGCAGTTTGACCCTTTCCTGCTCACTGAAGGGTTTACATATCTTAGCATCTATTCCCTCCCATTGCTACAGAATTGAAGGAAAATAATCTTATATGATATGCATCACTGTAAAAAAGAAATAATACAGCAGGTGAGGTCAGTCACTGGAACGGGCTTCCAGGGCAGCAGTCGCCACACCAAGCCTGTCAGATTTCAGGGACTGTTTGGATGACGCTGTTGGGCCAAATCAATAAAAGACTTAAGACATTTAGAACATAAGCAAAACATTTCTATTTTTCAGATGAATGTGAAATCTTACTCCTTGTTCTTAGTAAAATGGGAGGGAAAGGAAGTAGAGCAACAGAAACACTTAAGCAAAAGCCATGTATTTTATTTCTATCAAGTTAGTATTTAATGCTTAAAGAGCTGCACAAAACAACTTCAGAGAACTGCACCTTTACACTTCCCTATGAGTTATCATGGCTACTGAGAAAATAAAAAACATTTTAAACTTGTTTTAACCTGAAGCTCTTGTAGTATAGTTTTTGTAAAGTTAGCCTCTGCTGTAACTGAACACCACAGTCACAAGCATCAAAAAGTTATAGGTACTTTCCATATTAAGTTAGTAGTGTCAGATAAAATATCAAGCAGCAGTACAGGACTGAAAATAGCTGAACACATTTTGATTAGAAAGATTATACCTGAAATTTAGGACAGTGCTTGTACATAGAAGCCTACAAACAAACCATGTCAGCAAAATCAGTAAATGGTTGAATTATATCAACATTTGCACTAGGTAATATTTAGTTGACTAATATATCATACCATATGAAAATAACTCTTTGGACAGGTTAGAGTGGATGCACTAACTGAATAATTTTCTACTACAGCATTCATATTATGAATGGAACTGTTTACAGCAGGGACATTTTCTTTGGTACAATGCACTTAAAATGACAGTAAGTTGGCCACATGTATGTAAGGCAAGAGCATATCAAGGCAGACTTGTAACAGGAAGTCCCTGATGGCAATTGCAGTAATCACTGTATTGTATGTGTACAGATCATACTTCAAAATTCTTCTTTTGCAGCATGCAGCAACAAAAGATACTTTCCAAATCCTTTAGTAAGAAACTGCAACTTCTACACCATCAAAAGCATCCTGTGAATCACTGCTTCTCAAGGGAAATTATCAATATTGCTTCTTCTATCATCAGTATTATGTTAAGCTGGGACTGAAAAACAAAAGCAAGCATATAAACTGTAACATACTCTGAAAAAAATAAAACAGAAAAAAACAAATCTAAATATTTTCTGTAGTTGATAGTTACTCATAATAGTGCAGATAATGACTTCTGCTACCAACAATTCCACTTTCATATGTAAAACCAGGAAAAAGAGTTTAGGAAAAGGAACTCAGTAATATTACTTGAAATGCAATAAATTTTGGCAAAATCACAAGCAGGCTGCTAGCATATACCCAAAAATGAGCACCCATCTAACTTCTAAAGTTTTTCATAGTGTAGCAGTTATGGATAATTTCTGTACCAAAAAAATCTGCTTTCAACTGCAGTAAGATATTAATCAACAAAATGTTATCTGCAGTAAAGTTGTAGTTTATCGGAAAGAAAATTCGTCAAGTGGCTTCTGGGTTTGGAGTAGAAAAACAATTTAGTATATGAATATTTCATTCAATGTTTATATATTAAAAAATTGGGCATGTTATTGGGGAAACTTATTTTGAACACATTTCTGATATTTCACAATTTACTTGAGGTTTCTGTTTGGGAGTGGGGAAATAAAGGAAGTGAAATGCTTATCAGGTCATATTCTGCACTCAGTGTAATTTTACAACCAATTTCATCAATCTTCCTCAAAACTCTGTCCTAGGAAGACATACACAATATTATGGGGTAGCGGCAGTTGGACCGCTTCATAAAAATAACATATCCTACAGTCAAAACCTCAGTGCTGCAATCAAATTTGTCATTTCTGGAATCCCCTGGGTGAATTTCTCTCCCACTCTAACTTCTCCCTCTCCCTCTTGCTCTGTTCGTGAACAGTCACAATTTCTTCATCTCTGATATCAAAGCACAGCAATTCAAGTCGAAAACCTTGGTTCCTTCAAGGAAAAAAAAAAAAAGAGAAAGGATGCTCATAGAATATACAGCAATCACTCTAAAACTAAATCCACCATGAGGGTAATTTACACACTTCTGTCTTCTTATCACAGAACAGGAGCATGCTTGTATGTTTTCTAAAAGATTACTGAAATTTGTGTTATAAAAGTGGTATGTGAAGAAGTTTTTTCTTGCTGCCTCTGATGACTAGCATCAGCACTTACTTTTTGCGGTCCTTGCCTTCGTTCAAACTAACAGCAAGGGTAGAGACAGATGCTTCTGACTGGAGTAACTCAGCGTTAGCTTTCTTCTCAAGAAATGCAGCTATTTCGTCTTCTAGAACTTTTTTCTCTTTCTCTAATTTCAGACGCATTTCTTCAAGAATTTGCATTTGATGTTCATGTTTAGCCAGTTGCTGTTTAAAGCACAGAAGAAATATTGCCAACTAGTAACACAAGGTGGTGATATCACAACACAAAACCCCTCTGCAATAAAACAGTAAAACCTACCTCAACTCGTGTTAAAACTCATTTAAAATTTGCAATTCTTTCCCAAAACTGGTAAGACTAAAACCAACAATCCAGAAAAATAACCACTCATATCAGATTGTTCTCACAGAAGCCAGGCTACAGACACAAAGTACAGATGGAAACCTAGTTTTCAGCCTGCGTAACCTCACAACATCCTTTATTCCTCTTGCCTGCCCTCATAAGAAATAATTAAGACTATAAATGTAACAGTAGGCCTGTTTTACACAGTAAAGCTGTCATATTTTATAAATGTGTGTGTGTGTATGTACAATATTCATCTATTTACTTCATTGCAACAGTTAACTAGAGGCAGTATAAAACCAGATATACCAACAAAAACATTCAGGGTAGAAACAGTAAGCTCCTAAGCAACTGTATGTCTCAGGAGTGGTAATGCTGCACAAGTTTCTTCTGAATAAAGAATGAGAAAGCAATCTGAAGCACAACAGAAATTCCTGGTTTTCTTTAGTTTTCAGATACACATGCACACTTCTCAAATAATTAGCAGCAAGAGTCTATGACAAATGCTGCTTAGCAGTGACTGCATGATCGCTTTCTCACATCAGGAACTGGGAAAACTAATAGCCATAATTCAATTGCAGTATGCAGAGCTCACAAGCCACCAAATACAAATCATAGAAGGGTACCATCAAAGGGTACATGGCCATGTGTTCTTCCAATTGGATAGCCTAATACTGAGAAGGACTGAACCTCATTTTTTTTCTCTGCAAGGACTTAACAGATTTAGAAAACAAATTATTTAGCCTTCTCATATAAAACATGCACCTAAACTCCTTGCAAAAGCTGCTACCTCTTTGCTGGAAGACTGAGTTACAGAACATCAACAAGTCTACATAAATTTCCAATTTCAATTACACTAGTGTTTGAATATAAATATGCATGACCATGATAGAGTCTGGCAGAAAGTAGATGAGAAGATCCTGTTTCACCAGTCCAGCTTGACAGGACTAAATCTTCAACAACATATTCAAGAAATGTTCCACATCTCCAAATATTCTTAAGGCAACTGGGTATAGATGAAATTTTAAAACAAAAACATGACCAACAAAATCATGCCACCCGAATTTCAAACCTCTCAACATGAGGGTTGAACTTATATTTAATAACTAAACCTGCAGGTCATACAAGCACATATGCCCCACTCCCTCAGGCTGAAAAACAACCCCTGGGATTTCTTTTTCTGAAATCATGTTTGTCACAGAGCAACCTGTGCATGGAAAGCACTTACAGTGCTGCTATGGCATACAGGTATTTCTCAGCATACTGCTAGAGAAGAAAAAGAAACATGCAACCATTATATTTATCAGCCCTTTTACTTCACTGTATCACCTCCTACCTATTGACTTGTCCCAGCTTTCCAGCAAAGCCTTTAGACTATAAGCTCCCTCCTTCCACAAAAATCCAAAGACGTCCACTTACAGAATCATTTAGGTTGCAAAAGACCCTTCAGATCAAGTCCAGCTGTTAACCTACCACTGACAAGTCCACCACTAAACCATGACCCTAAGTGCCAGATCTAAATGCCTTTTAAATACCTGCAGGGATCGTGACTCCACCCTCCCTGGGCAGCCTTTTCCAATGCCTGACAGCCCTTTCAGTGAAGAAGTTTTTCCTAATATCTAATGTAAACCTCCCCTGGCACAACTTGAGGCTGTTTCCTCTTGTCATCTCACTTGTTACCTGGGAAAAGAGACCAACAGGCGTCCCACTAAAGCCTCCTTTCAGATAGTTGTACAGAGTGGTAAGGTCTCCCCTGAGCCTCCTTTTTTTTCAGGCTAAACAAACCCAGATCCCTCAGCTGCTCCACATAAGACTTGGTCTACTTGTTTGCTGTGTCTAATCAATCTGATAATCTAATCAATCTAATTAGTCAATCTGCTTTTGATTACTTACACTACATTACTGCCCCCAAAATACCAGGAAATTATGCTAAAAAGTTAACTATTTCAAATCTCAGCAGACGAACTTAAGTCAGACAGGCATGCTTACCTGTCGCTGTTCTTCTTTAAACATTGCTACTTTCTCCTTCTTTCTCTGCACATACTGTTGTCTTAGCTCCTTCTCTTCTCTTTGCAGTTCAAGGTAGAACTCAGACCACTCTACTTCATAGACTTCCTGTGGACTAAAGTCCAAAAATGTAAGCAAGTCTCCAGTATGCTGCTTTAGTCAGTGTGGAATGCCACCAAACTGGAACATTATTTAAACAATTAATATTCATCTGAAATATTAATTTCTATAGCTTGCAACATAAAAATTCATAAACAAACCTAAACAGAAGGAAGCATCTTACCTTTCTGTGTCTATATCACTACTGCTATCACCACAGTGCTGGCAGGAAAAGTTCTGCTTTTCAGGGAGAAATGAGTGGAGCTTGTGCACAGATGCATCTCATACACCAAGAGCACACTACCTTTGAAAAGCATACCTGGCTTAATGATACAAGTTTTTCCAACCAAATATGTACCACAAACTTCTCTAAGTCACAAGATTCCAGAGAGACAAAATTGGTGGATCAGAGCTGTGCTAATGGCTATTACAAAATCAAAAGGAACAAATCTAACCTGTAATGGGTAAAGTTCCAGCTCTTTATCCTGGGGCTATTCTCTTACACCGTTCATAGTTTCTGACAGCTCCTGAGTGCTGACTGGTCAGCCACCCTCAGCTATCTTTAGTCCTTTGCCAGGTATCTCATGCCTTCCACTAGGAGGCAAAATAAATATATATGTTTACCAAATATTTAAATTTGGTTTAGATTTTTAATAAACATACACACTTTTGTACCAGTTTTTAAGTCTGTTTCTATTAAAACAGAACGGAACAGTCTGTTTCTGTTTCTATTAAAACAGAATGGAAAGACTTACAAAAAAGTACATCTAAAAACTTAATAATTTAAGCGTAAGTAATCTTAAACAGCTTTCTTCCGTATTTAAAATGATGACTGACCAGTTTCCCAATCCTAAAATTTTTATTTGTATTCCAAATATAACCCAAAGAGAGAGAAAAATCATCTTGAAATTGCACATAACAGATGTAATGTTTGTAACCACTCAAGGTCAGAGCACTTTTCCAATTCTATCTTATTTGAGCAATACATTGCAATAAAACACATTCAGAACAACAACCTTTTGAGGCTTGTCTTTTGGGGTAGGGGGGTTTATCAGCTGTGAAGCAACTCAGGTCATCCTGAAATTGCATCTACCATATAAAACAGGGGTATGGTTTTCACACAGGTATATTAATCCAAACTATCTTTAAGTTTAGACAGCATATGTAATAACAATAAAGCTACAACACAGGTTTTCTAGTGCTAGCAGTCTCACTGTACACACTTTTGGGCCCTGTGTCAGTTCTACTAGCTAACGTGCTGACTTTGAGTGCAATTAAAGCCACTAGAACAAGCGCTAGACTAAACTAACATGTTGCAATCACACCTTCATTTCACCATACAGACGCCTTTAGACTTGACCTAAGCTAGTTTACTAGGTAAAAGCAATTTCGTCCTGAAATTAGTAAAAGATTAACTTTGAAGACACTGAATTTATGAAGTAATCAAATTACATGTTTCAGGAAGAGGAGAAATAAAAACATAATTTTTAAATGCTCCCTCCCCTTGGACTGAATTCTTCTGGAAATTGTTCTGGAAATCACAAAGACAAAATTAAAGCAGTGTTTCATCTTCTGTGTCTGGCGTATCAGCAGCATAATGATCCAAACAGCCTTTGGTTTAGGAGGTTTGGGGAGGAGGGGAAAACAATTCACCAGCTCTTAAGCCAATCCTTTCAATATTACTGCCTCCACTGCTCACATTAAAACACTTCTCAGTTTACCTGACAACTGTTTCCACTAATTCGCATATAGGACATTATGAAAACCAAATTTACAGGTTCTTTCATTCTTATGGGTTGGACCTCTAGGATTTTATGCTTGTACGAAACCTTTTGCAAAATTAAAAAATCACTTCCTCGGTTTTACATCCAACAGACACTGCATAAAATGCATGAAGCATCCTCCCATATACTCCCAAATGCTATCCATCAACCATTATATAAATTTTGCCATAACAGGCTTTCCAAGTCCAGACTGGCTGCTTTTCATGGCTGGGAAGCCAGATTATACCTATATGACTAGCCTTAGATGGTATTTTATTTATTCCTCGAAGCACCATATGGTGGATTCTTTAAAGCAGTTTACCACATTATACGGCATATACGTGACTGAAATTCTCATGACCTTTCGGAATGAACCCCCAAGTTTTGTATATTGTCTTTGCAAGGAATGAGATTAAGTAAATTCCCAATTAGCCGTTAATTTAAGTTATTCTAATTGTTCCTACCGAATTCAAATAATGGTTTGATAAAATACCAGTATAAACCAGGTGTCCTGAAAGCAGCAGAATTAATAGCCCAAATTCCTATACATGATTTTATGTTCAGTGATTGTAATACTCAAAGTCCTGCCTAGATCCTTCCACCTTTTTAACTCTATAACTAGTGCCCCTCCATACTTCCTAAATACTTTTTACTCATTGTGAGTACTTTCACAGCTCTTTCCCACACAGTAGCCTTAGCTACTTCCAAATCACCCATGACCTTCTCATCCTACCGCAGTACTGCCAAGTTCCCAGGAGTTTCAAAAGACAGTACTTGATTCAGAAATAATGATTTACTGACAACAAATGCACACTGGCTGGCCAACAGCTGGTAGGAACTTCTGCTAGAGGTCTTCTGCTTTTTCTGCAAGCGAGAACACTAACCATGTAATCCCCTGGAAGCATCCAACCCTTCACAGAAGACTGAAAATGGAGAGGTGGTTAGTAAGTTATTAGGGACAGACTAACAGACTGCACAGGTAAACTTAATTCTCCCTGCAAGTATGGTTAATTAAAAACTTATCTCTTAGAATGCAGTTGCAAATAAACGAATTTAAAAGTTATTATGATACAAATTCACAAAAAATGTACAAGTAGAGAACAGGTATTTTTGAAGTTGTGTACACTTGAAAGTGTACACAAGAGCCTCACTGCAGACTACTATCTTTATTTTCCCTCCTCGCACCTAGTAATAAAAATGCAATTTTTCTGTTGTGTGATGAAACCATCTCTTACCAGGCCTCCTATATAAACATAAACCTTACCAACATATTTTTTCACATATAAGAGTGAAAGCCTTTGATGATGATGATGATGGCTTGACTTCACGAATGAAGATTTGGGAAGGGCTTTACCCATGCTTACTACAAGCGCGCTGATGACTAAAAAGGCCAAAGCCTTTACAGATCTGCTTACAACCTACCTATCGCACAAGGTAACTGGAAACCCAAGAATTACTGGGTTTGCTTTGCAGTGGCGTATAATTTTTGATGAATAAAATAGTGCTGTACTTTTAAATACAGAAGAGTGGTACAGGAACTTTACAGGTGGATTTTTCACCCAGGACAACATGTCATGAAAAGGCAGGACGTTAGCTACTCAAGTGTCAGTGTTCAAATGCTACAAACACCGCTGCATTAAAATCAGCAGAGTACTGAAGTCTAGCAGAAATTTTCTAAATTTCCATTAAAAAAACTCAATTGAAATTATCAAACTTAGTATTTAGAAAGCTACATCACAGGCACAAAATACAACTTCTCAACATGCATTTTGACCATTATTTACACAAATGCCTTAAAATTTTATTCATCAGTTCAGTCATACTGCTCTGCTATATTAACTATACTTTAAAATTGAGGATCTTAGAATTCTTGTGTACATATTGTAAACATCTTTAAGGACAAAGAGGACGACAATAACACATTTTTGCATAGAAGAAGAGGATAACGCCTATTCTGAAAGATATTGAAATTTACAGGCAGCACTGAACTTCCTCTATGGAAGGAGATGGCTTCTACCACACTGTTGAGGAGGACACTTTTTATCATTCCCTTAGTAGCTCCATAAAAAACCTTATGGGTAGGGCTACATTAGTCTGCCAGTTACACTACATACAAATTCTCTAAATTCTCTTCCCTTTTTATGGTATCATAAAATATCTCTCCCAAAAGACAAAAGGCCTTGTCTTTCAGCCCTCAGTGCCACTCACTATGCCACATAACTGCAAGACAACCACATACCCTAGATCCAGTCCCACTTTTAAATATGGGAAAAGTCTATGGTCAGTTTCAGTTGGTTTTAAACCTCACTCACCTTCAGTTCTCTATTTATGAGACAGATACTTCTTGTTAAGTCAAGATAAACGTCAGGAGACCGCTGATTCATGGTAGCTCAAGATCAACTAAATGAACTAATCTTTAAATGCACCTTGACATTAAGACTTGAGAAAGAAGTGCCCATATCCAGCATCTTCCTTGTCCACATTAATCTCATTTATTATTTGAACAATATATAAATTGGACCTAATTAAAATAGAAGAAATGCTGTGACTGTGAGTTACAGTAACTGCGAGTTACAGTAACTGCAACTGCCTTAGAACTTTTGCACAAAGTAGAGGTGAAAGCAAAGAATATAACTCACTAAAACCAACTATTTGGAGGGAAGCCATTTAAAAGTTTGTTTTGTTGTGGGTTTTTTTACAAGAACAGAATGGGTAAAGACAGTCTGATGACTAGGTAAAACAGGAAGTAAACAAACCAGCTGGTTCAAAGCACTAGAAATTGTTCTTAATGCAAAGTCTTATTTTGTTTTCATGTCTGGTTTAAGTCAGTATTTCCCACCATGACTATGCAATAGTAGCGCTTTGATAAACTGTGAAGACTTGAACAAGTCCTGAAGCATCAGTTCTTCCCCATTAGGATCCTAACAACTTATAAAAATACAGTCCCATGCATAAAACAACCAAAGGAAGTCGGAAGAGTGAGAGGGAGAAGACAGAATTGGAAATAAAAGATTAAATAAACTGGATAGAAAAACTGTAAATATTTCCTGCAAAACGTAGCTTTACTGCATGAAACAACCAAGTGTCTCTAACCCTCTCCTTAACTTTCCTCTATTAACTTCCGACAGTCTAGCAAGAGGTTTCTTAACCTGAAAAGGCTAGACATTGGTTATTATGGCAGACAATATGAGAAGTCAACAGTGTAACGAATGATTTTGTAAAAGTTTTTGCTTCAGTTCCTTTTGAATTTTGATTAAAACCAAACCATTGGTCAGAATCAGACATTAAGATAGAAAATAAAACAGCATGCTGATATATAATGAAAATAGTCTAAAATGCACAAAGTGCATGTACCTGAAGAAAGTTTACATTGTCTAGGACAAAAAAATTGAATTCCCAGGTTTATTATAAAAGAGAAAGATTGCAGAAATACAACCAGCTTGCATGCCTTTAAAAGCAATGTTCATATAATCCCACATACTTCTCCACGAAGATAACTGAATGAACAGCAACATACTTACTCTGATCTAAAAAAACACAAAACAAAACAACAATCAAAAAGCCATCAACTTTTTTTTCCCCTCTTATGAAAACTATTCTATGTATGCCTTGTATTGGGTTGATACAGTCAAATGTGAAGTGAATAGATGCTGAAAGCAAGTGCTGCATAGGCAGTCTTTTACCTGACTGGTTCGTTCCCTGGACCCACATCTCTGAAGCCCATCTCTTCCAGTCTGCACCGTCTGTACAGCTCATAATGCTGTGCACGAGTCTGCTCTCTTAAATCTTCCATATTTGTGCAAATAAGCATCTCACGAAGCTTTACAAAGTCACAGTGGCTCTCATTTTCTACTATTGGGTTAAAAGAGGAAGATTTTATTATTATACATAATTAGCAAAATTGTCAAAATAATTTTTTTTTAGCATTCATTTATTTTGTTTACTAATTATAATCCCACAAAAAGGTATCTTGTTATTTCCTATACATCTCATAATTCCTTATAATTTCAAATACACACATTGAAGCACTAACTGAGTACTGGTGAACATGTTCCAACACACCCTGATTTCCTGTTTGAGTTGAACAATGATAAATTGCTCTTTTTTTCCCTTCTTTTCTACTGACAGTCACGAAACTTTGAAATTTGGTAGTACTAGAGGCACTGCTACCATATTAACCTTCCCAAATATTACATACACTACCTCACAGTTTGATTCCAATGACTGCATCATTGCTGATGGAACTACCACTTAGTGCACACCTCAAGTATTACTTGCTAAACTCCTTCAATTGTTGATCCAAAATACAATCAATATGGCATCAGCAGATAATATGAGCCCCTTTAAGTATTGGTGAATTTTATACTGCAACAACCACAATCTTGTAAAAATACCTTTGAGAATTCATTTACCTTGTACAGTGCCCCAAGGGTACTGACGAACTCTCACCATTTTGTTTCCAATTTGCACCTTTTCGTCACTTCCTACTACCGCAAATGGCATGTGCCCCTGCAAGAGTCACACCAATACAGTCTTATCTTTCAGCATTCTTAGGTCAGAACTGAAAACCAAACACTTCAGAAATAAACTGGAGAGAAAAAACACCATTCAGGAAAAGACAACAGGCAGTTTCAAACAAAAACCACTTTGAGATCTAGTCAAACTACTACAATAACAAAACCAAGAGTGGTTGACAGACCAGACGAGACCTCATAGCAGCCTTCCAGTATCTGAAGAGGGGCTATAGGGATGCTGGGGAAGGACTCTTCATTAGGGACTGTAGTGATAGGATGAGGGGTAACGGGTTAAACCTTAACCAGGGGAAGTTTAGATTGGATATAAGGAGGAAATTCTTTACTGTGAGGGTTGTGAGGCACTGGAATGGGTGGCCCAAGGATGTTGTGAATGCTCCATCCCTGGCGGTGTTCAAGGCCAGGTTGGACAAAGTCTTGGGTGACATGGTTTAGTGTGAGGTGTCCCTGCCCATGTCAGGGGGTTGGAACTTAAGGTCCTTTCCAACCCTAACTATTCTATGATTCTGTGAGTGCACTGCCCATTCAGACAAACATCAACAAGCTGGAGAAATGGGCAAAGAGGAACCTCATGAGGTTCAATGCCAAGTCATCCACATCAAAGGCGAATAACCCTATGCTCCAGCAAATGCTGTGATATGACTGGAAAGTCACTTCGTTGAAAAAGACATAGGGCTCCCGGTGGACAACTGGACAACAGGTTGGACCTGATTCAGCAGGTCTGCCCCAGTAGCAAAGGCAGTAGATCACATCCTGAGCTGCATTAGAAATCGTATCAGCAGTAAACAGAAAGCCACTCCAGAACACATCCCTCTGATTTGCATTCAGCCAGAGTCCACATCCCCAGTAACAGTAATGAGAAAAATCATAGGTTTGAAGCAGAGGTACGGTTACTGATGTGGGCTCAGCCAAATGGCCAGAAATACAAATAGAGGTTGGGTATCTACATGCTAACCCACAACACCTGACCAAATTTAAAAAATAAATAAATAAACCATTACCTAGAAAATAAATCACTAGCAGAGCATGACAGCAAGAAAGGGGTAACAGACCACCACCTTTCCTCACAGCAGAAAGACCTGTTACTGAATGACAGCCTCCACATTCTCATTCCCTGGCAGAAGTGACAGAGGTTGGGACTGCAGAGCCATACACTCCAGCATACCAGCTTCTCCTCCATACTTTCAAACACCCTACATGCAAACATTATGTTCATGTGCATCTACAACCATATGCACATAAACAGCAAATACAGAGTGCTCAAAGCAAAGACATCTAGCTTCACAAGCTTAGTTGAAGCTGGCAGATACTCCTGGGAGGACCTGAAAGGACAATAGTAAGAAGCCAGAAGTATATCTGATTTCTTCAATCCCCATAGAAAATCTGTCCTAATTTCAAATAAAGTACTAAATAAAAGGAAAAGGCAGATGTGAGACTTGGTACAATAATGACCAGAGAAAACTGGAGAAATGAAACACCTGAATATCTTTCCTAACAGATGTAAGGTAGGTATTTGTTGAGGAAAAGAGCAAAGCCAATATGCCCATCTATTTTACCAATTAAATATTAATTATACAGAAATTAGAAGCAGTATTTATGAGTTAGAACTTCTTTTCCGTTACTGAGCCAGGAAAGAAAAAGCCTCCTAAAACAAGTGGTGTCAACAGCAGAACAACAGGAAGATTTGGGAGTAGGAGAGAAAAAGAAAAGAGAAAAAAAGTAGATGAGCTTTTTAGGAAGAGAGGAAAACAAATGAACTTGTTACATACAAACTTGTAAGCTTCAAGGTAATGGCGAACAAAACAGGCATTAATCAGCATGAGAGAGTGATGCTTTAGTACTAAAATATCGATGTTTTTTGTCATTTACTTACATTCATGATGGCATTCAGTTCAGAAATGGCTTCATCATCAGTTGGAAACTGGTATATCTGGATGCGATTAATAACTAATTCAGACATGATTTTGTTCTTGAAATTCTGTAGTTCGCTTTTAGTAATGCTGTCTGCTTTGCCTATAATTGGTATAATGTTCACCTATTAATGATACAAATTATGAAAGGCATAAGACTTCAGTTTTGAGGAGACATCCTTTATAAATTAAATTGTTTGGTGATGAGCTTTTCAAAACTTTCCCCGCAGTCCAAACTTTTCATCAGTTGTTATCAAAACTTCACAAACCATGAAAAATACATCCACTGGCATCATTCAACAAAGTAACGACAGATTATTTAATATACTTGCTTAAAATTGATTCTGAGAAAAGAATGAGGAAGGAGATCCCATACACTTTAGTGCTCAGAACAGCAACGCCTACTTATTAACTAAATGACATAAAGCTTTTTTATCTCTGCTAATAAAATAGCTTGTTTTAGTTTAAAGGTACATGGTTCAGGTGTTAAATGAAAGTTGACAGTATAAATACAAAAAGAAAAGGAACCTGGCCACCAAAGCCTGCCTACCCTTGAGCTCCTTCCTTGGGGTCCTTTCAGCTACAGTAACATCTTGTTCACCTCACCACTACAGCAGATCATTTCTGAAGTATCTGCTACAAGCAGATGAATGGCAAAGACTGAAGCATCTTGCTTACCAGTCTTTGCATTAGTTATTCAGAACGCGCAATTCAGTTCTACTAAGGTAAACCGGCCTATTTCCTAAACCAATTATGACAGTAACTTAGTAGATGCTGAATTTTTCTTAAAAATACTATCACCACTCCCAAAATACGCATTTTTCAGAACTAGATAGAAAGATTTAATGCCGGTGTCCAAATATTCGGGGAGAAAATACAAATAATTCTTCCACATTTCTCAAGATGAGAATTTTACATACTTCCTTGATCAGAGATGCAAAAAGGAGGAGGAGGGGAGGGGGAGAAGGACAATAAATAAAATAAAATAAAATAAAATAAAATAAAATAAAATAAAATAAAATAAAATAAAATAGAAATCCACTTTTTTTTTTAATATTCTGTCTGAATGGAAATGCCTGGGCATGGAATCTCAGAATGGATTCAAAATTGATGTTTTTGAAATAAGTCTTGTGTCTTAACCAAAACATCCAGATGAGAAAAAAACAAAAAGGCATTCTAACTCCAAAGTATGACTGCTAAGATTATCTGATGATAGTTACACACAAGTAGCATACGCAACCTAAGCGCACATGGGGCAATGTCTAAACACAAGTAAAATGCTAGATTTTTTTCTTTTAATATCAGGTGATTTTGGATTGCATAAACAATCTATTGCAGCTTGGAGTAATTCATGTCTTCAATCAGATTAGCTCAGGGACATCTATTTAGGTTTTCTATGCTATAGGTTTGAAAATGGAATGCAGTCTTCCAAATTAAATTAACCTTTATGCTGATTTTCAACAGATAAGTCTTTCTAGCACTCCTTAATTGGGAAAGAATTTCTTAGACAATGAATAGCAGAGAAAGACTACTGAAGAATCCAGTAACAAAAGAAAAGCAGAATCACCATAAACTGATTACAGCTAGCAATGCTGGTGCTAATCACAACCTTTGCATTAAAATTTAAAAGCTATACTGGCTTTAGATAAGCAACAAAAAAGTTACCTTTGTTTAATCTGTTAAACAAAATTAATTTCTGCTTGCAGCATCTAAGGTTTACTTGAAAAGTAGTATCCTAGTGCTTTCGTCCACCAATAACATTAACGGGGAGCACACGCTGGAACTAACAAGAGACATAAACTGTATTTATTTGCGTCACATATAGACGTGCCTCAAGTCCCAGTGCTTCCTCCTATGCCTACTATTGACTCAGACACCGGACTCCCTACCAGCCCCTTCCTCAGCTACAACCAACTTTCAATAGCTACAAAATTGAATTTTGCTACAAAGTTATAGAACATTAATGCAGAATCACTTTAAAGCCCCCCCCCCCCCCCCCCCCCAAATGTCTATATTTAAATAAAAAATACAGTCTTATCCTTCCCCTTGCCTGTAGCTGCTCATTGCCAGGTAGAACTAAAATCTGTGACACTGTCCAAGGAGACAGATTACTTTTCAGCTTGATCAGTTCCCTAACAAAGCAAAAATCTTTAGCTTTCAATTTCAATCAGTTCCCTCATCCAGGGAATTGGCTGCCCAAAAATCTTAAGCATGCACAATGGGAAGAGGCAGCTGAGACTGCCTCACTGAACAGCAATGTAGATTGAGCATATAAAATCACCAGGATAATTTTTATCTATGTGCATTACGTCTCTGTTTGCTAGCACCAAATTCAGTGCTCTCATCATCCTTCTGCCAGAAATGTAGTCTTGATTTCCCCCAGTCAGAAAACATGCTATTATTCTAAATTAAGATTTTCACGTAACACTTTACATTAATGTCAAAACATCTGTTGCCTCTTTTTGCGATAGATAAGGGAAAAAAATACATGTACTTGAAATTATTATTGGTTGCTATCTTGCAGGATGATTTACATGTATCTCTGAATCAATACAAAAATTCTGAATTATTCTTTCTGAAGAAAAAAAAAAAACAACTAAATTAAACCTCACAAGGTACATCCATCATTCCCTGCCTTAACAGTATATATAATTCCTCAATAATTACTTAAAACCGCAGATGTGTCAGTTGAAAAATCACTAGTTCCCAGCAAGAAAACATACAGAGGATTCCCTCAATCTGTGAATGAAACCTGGCTGACCTGCAGTGATTCAATCCTAAGCAAAACTACAGGACTTTCCAATGCGTAAAAGCTTGAGGACAAATTCTTAGCTAGTCATCCAATTTATAAACAATAGAGAAAAAGTAATTGCCCAAAGATAGGTCTGTGTTTTTCCTCCCAGGATTACTGAGTATAGGATGACCCTATCCTATTCCAAGAATCCTCTTTACCTCTGAGCTGTTTAATCCAGTCTTGTTTTGTACCAAGCAGACCATAACAAAGCTAACAGTGTACACTGCGATGGATTTACGAAGAAACTAAAGACAACTTTTGACAGACTTATACACTTGATGTATGCATGTTCCCGTACCACCTTCTCTTTACAGAATCCTGTACTCAGCAAATGTGACCACGGACTTACACATCCTGGGAAATCCTGAGTTCTGAATTGCCTCTAGGGGAATACAGTAGTAAAAGCACCGCAAACATGTTTCACAATGGGACAGAAACCAAACTACAGTTAAAGTATATACTTTTTCGTCTGTGTCTATTTCTATTCTTGAGTAAGATCAGAAAGCAGAATCCATTACAAAGGGATAAAAAAAGAGTTACATGCTGTTCATGTTCTATGTTCTCTCTGAACCAAAGCAGAAACACAAATATTTAGAGTCATAGAAACATAGAAACATAGAATAGTTAGGGTTGGAAAGGACCACAAGATCATCTCGTTCCAACCCCCCTCCCCCCCCCCCCCCCACGGGACACCTCACACTAAACCATGTCACCCAAGGCTCTGTCCAACCTGGCCTTGAACACCGCCAGGGATGGAGCATTCACAACTTCCCTGGGCAACCCATTCCAGTGCCTCACCACCCTCACAGTAAAGAATTTCTTCTTTATATCCAGTCTAAACTTCAGGTTTTAATCCATTACCCCTTGTCCGATCAGTACAGTCCCTAATGAAAACTCCTTATAGGCCCCCTTCAGATACTGGAAGGCTGCTGAGGTCTCCACGCAGCCTTCTCTTCTCCAGGCTGAACAGTCCCAACTTTCTCAGCCCGTCTTCATACAGGAGGTGCTCCAGTCCCCTGGTCATCCTCGTGGCCCTCCTCTGGACTTGTTCCAACAGTTCCATGTCCTTTTTATGTTGAGGACACCAGAACTGCACACAATACTCCAAGTGAGGTCTCACAAGAGCAGAGTAGGGGGGCAGGATCACCTCCTTTGACCTGCTGGTCACGCTCCTTTTAATGCAGCCCAGGATACAGTTGGCTTTCTGGGCTGTGAGTGCACACTGAAGCCGGCTCATTTTCATTTTCTTAGCAACCAACACCCCCAAGTCCTTCTCCTCAGGGCTCCTCTGAATCTCTTCTCTGCCCAACCTGTAGCTGTGCCGGGGATTGCTCCGACCCAGATGTAGGACCTTGCACTTGGCATGGTTAAACTTCATGAGGTTGGCATCAGCCCACCTCACAAGCGTGTCGAGGTCCCTCTGGATGACATTCCTTCCCTCCAGCATACCAACTGAACCATACAGCTTGGTGTCATCGGCAAACTTGCTGAGGGTGCACTCAATCCCACTGTCTGTGTCACCGACAAAGATGTTGAACAAGACCGGTCCCAACACCGATCCCTGAGGGACACCACTCGTTACTGGTCTCCAGCTGGACATTGAGCCATTGACCACAGCTCTTTGCATGTGGTCATGCAGCCAGTTCTTTATCCACCCAGTGGTCCATCCATCAAATTGATGTCTCTCCAATTTAGAGACAAGGATGTCATGTAGGATAGTGTCAAACACTTTGCACAAGTCCAGGTAGATGACATCAGCTGCTCTACCCCTGTCCATCAGTTCTGTAGCCCCGTCATAGAAGGCCACCAAATTGGTGAGGCAGGATTTCCCCTTAGTGAAGCCCTGCTGGCTGTCACCAAGCACCCTGTTGATTTTCATGTGCCTTAGCATGCCATCCAGGAGAATCTGCTCCAAGATTTTGCCAGGCACAGAGGTGAGACTGACTGGTCTGTAATTCCCCGGGTCATCCATTTTGCCCTTCTTGAAAATGGGGGTTATATTTCCCTTTTTCCAGTCGTCGGGAACTTCACCTGATTGCCATTGTTTTTCAAATACGACGGACAGTGGTTCAGCAACTTCATTCACCAGCTCCTTCAGGACCCGCGGATGGATTTCATCAGGACCCATGGACTTGTGCACGTTCAGGTTCTTAAGATGGTCTCAGACCAGTTCCTCTCCTACAGTGGGCCTAAGGTCTTCATTCTCACAATTCCTGCATCTGCCTTCCAAGACTTAGGTGGTGTGGTCAGAGCATTTGCCAGTGAAGACCAAGGCAAAGAAGTCATTAAGAATCTCAGCCCTCTCCAAATCCTGTGTAGCCAGTTCTCCTGATAGCTTTTGAGGAGGGCCCATGTTGCCCCTAGGCTGTCTTCTATTTGCAATGTACCTATAGATTCTCTTCCTGTTATCTTTAACATCCCTAGCCAAGTTTAACTCTAACTGGGCCTTAGGTTTCCTAACCTGGTCCCTAGCTTCCGAGACAACATCCCTGTATTCTTCCCAGGCTGCCTGTCCTTGCTTCCACATTTTACAAGCCTATTTTTTCCCTCTAAGTTGCCTGAGCAGCTCCTTATCCATCCAAAGAGGTCTCCTGGCCCTCCTGCTGCACTTCCTTCTAGTTGGGATGAAACACTCCTGAGCTTGTAGTAGGTGATCCTTGAATATCAACCCACAGTCTTCGGCCCCCCTGTCCTCTAGGGCTATATCCCATGGCACCTTACTAAGCAGGTTCCTGAAGAGGCCAAAGTCTGCTCTCTTAAAGTCCAAGGCAGTGAGCTTGCTACGCGCTCTTCTCACTGTCCTGAGGATCTTGAATTCAACCATCTCGTGATCACTGCATCCAAGGCTGCCCTGGAGTGTCACATTTCCAACGAGCCCTTCCCTGTTGGTGAGCACTAGGTCAAGCATGGCACCTCTCCTTGTCGGCTCCTCTATTACTTGCAGAAGGAAGCTGTCTTCTACACAATCGAGGAACCTCCTGGATTGCTTGTGCCAGGCAGTACCGTCGCTCCAACAGATGTCATGGTGGTTGAAGTCCCCCATGAGCACAAGGGCCTGTGAGTGTAAGGCTTTTCCTATCTGTCTGCAGAACGCTTCATCCACAGATTCCTCTTGATCAGGCGGTCTGTAACAGATCCCCACAGTAATGTCTCCCATCGCTGTTTAACCCTGACCCACAAACTCTCTGTTGACTGCTCACCTATCCCCAGACAGAGTTCCATACTCTCCAGCCTATCCCTAACATAAAGGGCAACTCCCCCTCCCCGCCTGCCAGGCCTGTCCTTCCTAAAGAGCCTGTAACCTTCCATTCCAACACTCCAGTCATAGGAGCCATCCCACCATGTTTCTGTGATGCCTGTTATATCATACCCCCATAGACGTGCACACATCTCTAATTCCTCTTGTTTGTTCCCCATGCTACGGGCGTTTGTATAGAGGCATCTGAGCCGAGCTCCAACTGAAGCCGGCTCATTGGCTGGAGCGGCTGGAATATATCTACATTGCTCGAGCATTTATTATAGGTTCTGGCAACTGACTGGGTGTGTTGGGATGGAATGATGCCCCCTCCCCCAACACATCTAGTTTAAAGCTTCCTTGACCAGTCTGGCAAGCCTCCTACCAAAGTAGGAGAGTAGGTGGCTAGAAGCTAAAATTCCCCAAAGCAGAATTATGCTCATTTTATCCTGATGGGAAAATATTTCTCAGGATGCTGGGACTCATGGATCTATTTCCTTTTTCTTTTGGAAGAAACACTGCTTTAAAGGTAGTTCAGTTTATGAGAGCACAACCTAGACGCCAAGTATTTCTGTGGTTTAACACAACCTCCAACTTCAAAACTCTGAGTAGAACAATATGTTCCATGAGACTGTCCCATATTCTAGTACCAAGGCTCTTTAGCTCTCAGTGCATATTACAGGATATTTTCACAAACATTTTTATCTGGCATAAGGAAAGCAGTGACCCTGTCTCTCCTACCTTTGTCCCACCATACTTCTCCCCCCACTTGCTCTGTGTTATTGAGAAAGTTCAAAAGGCAAAATGCATTCACAAACAAAATTACAAAATCCCAAATGTGCTCATCAACCACAAAAATAGAACAGACAGCTGATCTGATCCTTGTTATTTTGAAGAAACATCTCACGAACAAGCAAACGCAGGAAGAAGTGTACCTTTAAGAGAGACGGTAATAAAACACAAGGAAAGGGCTAGAGGAACAACAACTGCATTTAAGTGATCAAATCTCTCAAAATTTCAACAAATTAAACCCAAATTACAAAAGGTTTCTTAAAATGGGCTAAATATTTAGCTTCATCCAGCCCATTACAGGAAAAAAGAATTTAGAAAGTGCAAGTAATCACATCAGAAACTGCTATTTTAAAGCTTTCAAACCAAATCAAGATGTGACATTTAAAACACTAATGCAGCCTATCTTAGAAAAAGTCATGCTGGCAGGTTGCTCTGCTCATGGCATTTGCCTCTGTGGTTATCTGCAACAAAGATCTTCACAGTACTGCAAAGCTTTTTATATGCCAGCTTTCCAGCAGTCCCGAAACTCAATAGTGAACTAGAAACAAGCTTAACTAGAAATATTACAGTGCTGATGGAGGGTACCCTGCCCAATCACAATAAGACACATGTTAACAGTTTGTTAAAAGTAAAGTTGGCATGGGTTTATTCTGTTTTTACACCTCGTAGTGCTTCTTTTTTCAGCATCCTGCCAGATGTCTCTCTCCTTTTTCTTTGTAAATAAGCAGGTGATGAGCTGCAAGCTACTTGCAGAGCTTAAGGTATACCTTAAGTTCAGAATACTAGTACTAAAAACATTCCAAAACCAAACACACAGATATCGAACTGAAAGGTAGTAGAGGGCCTAAAAGCTGCAAGATGCTTCAGAAAGTAAGACAAATTCCTGGAACTCTGTTTCAAAGTCTTACCTTGCTGTCTAGGCTTCTCATGGTTAATAAATCTAAGGGTTTCAGGGAATGGCCTGTAGGTGAAATGAAATAGAGGCAAACATGGATGCGAGAATCATGGTAGTTAAATAAAGAACGTTTAATTTTCAGTTCTTCCTGGAGATAGGCTTCAAATTCTGCATCTATATAATCCACTATTGGCTGATAGCTGTAAGAAATAAAATTTAACAACCAGTGATTAGCTAGTCCTGAACAGAGCCAAATTAAGAAAGGAATTCCTCTTCTGCCATTTTGTGGATTTTTGCTTTACCTATCAAAAGGCTGCTCAGGTATCTACAGCAGAAAGTTAAATGTACGGAGTGATTTGATTTCTGAAATGCTACTCAAAAAAGAATGGTGCACCTAATACAGATAAAATGTTTCCTAGTTCCTATTAGTGAACAAAAGCTACATAAATTTAGTTATGATTATAGCCAATTTTCCCAAGTGATGTTTTATAAATTTTTGCAATCAAGCTGTGCAACTGCAGACTCTTAGATACAAGGAAGATACAAAAAACTCTTTGATACAGTACAAGAAAAGAAAGAATATGCGATTACCAGTACCAAGTAATAGGACCTCCTTTATCTTCTGAAGTACCGTACAAGAGAGCTCTCAAACAACAGACAAAAATTAAAAAGGAGGAATGCAAGAGAACAATGTAAATCTGATTTGCAATAAGTACAGTTTAAGCATACTTTACCCTATTTAAAAAGAGATTATAATCTGCCTTCAAAAAGAAAGTGTTGCTAGATGTAAAGGCAGTGTGCCCTTACATTTCTGCTACTACACAAAGTTTAGAAACCAGATCAAATGCTATTAAAATTCCGAAGTAGTTGTTACACACAAAATTAAGGGAGGACTGAAAGGCAGCTCCTACACCACACAGCAAACCCTCTAATACCTATTCTAATACTTGCATCGCATTCATGCAAGTCACAAGCAGTAACTATTTTCCAGTCATATCATAAGCCACTGCTCTCATGACAATGTTAATGTGACTCTCTAACCTTCATTTATAACTACTACCATTTAGGCACCCATACATCACAAAGAATTGCTAAAATGTGTTACAATTAAGATAAAAGAAACAAAGTCTGCTGAGAGAGAATCTAGTATTTTAAAATCTTCAATTCATAAAAGCAGACTCAAAAGAAGTTCTGAAAGACACTAGTGTGGTAGCTCCACAACTTCTGATCAAACTGCTCGACATGAAAAACAAAGGCCTTCAGAAATCCATTTGATGTTCATTCCAATTTATGGTCTTCAATATGTTCCAATCAAATGCTTAAACCCCCTATATATCTAATTTATATAATCTACAGTAACCTGTTTTCTTGTTTAAAAAGTCTCTCACTGACCTTCTCCCTGCTTTCCTCCACTCTAAAACAAAGTCACTATTGCATGTATTATTGACATATATTTATAAAAGGTCATATCATAAAGAAAGGGGCAGAGTTCATCTGCTCTCTCAAATAATTTCCTAGATGAGAGAAAAACATGCTTACTTTGGTACATAAACAGTTAACCAAATATTTGGAGTATATGCAAGACAAGTATTTACTACAAAGTCCAAAGAAAAATCAATTGCAATTGAAGACCAAAACTTCTGCATATCACAGCAATAAGAGGGCACTTACCTATCTTCTTTGTTTATTTGGTCACCAAATCCCACTGTATTTACAATGGTCAGCTTCAAAAGAATATTACTTTCCTGAAGTTCACAAGTCTGGGCTCTAAGTTCTACTTTTGGCAGAAAATGAGTTGACACAGGGTCATCAAAACTGGTGTTAAATAAGCTGTTTATCAGGGTTGATTTCCCACTTCCAGTTTCCCCTACAGTTAAATAAAAGGGTTAGGGAAGACATTTTGCACATCAAATAAATACCTTCTAAGCACAGAAAGTGTTATCACAGGAACTCAACAAATTTACACAAAAAATTGCCAACTGATTTCACTGAGCAAAATGATTGCCTGCATTCTTTCTTCATAATGATCACTAAGTATCTTCTACTTAATTTTTTCATCCTACAGATAAAAGAGTTACCTGCTAACAAGCAATAAACAGAACAGTCTCTTGACACTTGTCTTTCTTTAAAAGTGTGAACTACTTTCCCACAGATTTTAAAAGCTAAGTAACTAGCTGCGAAACCACGGGGTTCAACACAGGGGTTTTATGAATAAGGATAAAATACTAGAGCAAATATTTGATAAATATAGAAATACTTCAGTAAGATCACCTTGGAATTTCAGGAGGTTGTGATTTGAAGCTCTTTGTTACAGTAAAAGTAGTGTAATTTACTCAAAAGAATCCAAGAAGCTGCCCATAAATCAATAAATACATTTTGCATCATATTTGGTCTTCATATTGTTTATGAAAATGTTAAATAGAAAAAGAATGGATACAAATAAGCAAAGCTGGGGGAAAATGTGGAATTATAGTTCATGCTTAACATTAGAGTTTAGCATTGCAACTGGATTTAAATTTCAGTCACTTCCTAAGGATGGGTATGCTACTAAAGCCTTAAAACACCCAGATAGTACTTACCAACACAAAGGATGTTGAAGCAGAAGCCCCGACTGATGAATTTTTTAACCAGTTGATCTGGTAAAGTACTAAAACCAACATGACCAGACAAGGATAAAGCTCGATAGTCATCATCCTGCTACAGAAAAATCATATAAAAATGTTAGTGAAGTTAATTGCAAAGCAATTAGTAATGGCCTACATTTTTCCTTCTGGAATTTTCCAAGTCTTGGGAAACGGGAGAGGTGCCTGAGGACTGGAGGAAAGCAAATGTCACTCCAGTCTTCAAAAAGGGCAAGAAGGAGGACCCCGGTAACTATAGACCGGTCAGCCTCACCTCCATCCCTGGGAAAGTGATGGAACACCTTATCCTTGGTGCCATCTTAAGGCATATCAAGGATAAGAGGGTTATGAGGGGCAGTCAACATGGCTTCACCAAGGGGAAATCATGCTTGACCAATCTCTTAGCCTTTTATGAGGAAATAACACGGTGGATGGATGATGGCAGAGTGGTGGATGTGGTCTACCTTGACTTCAGCAAAGCATTTGACACAGTCTCCCACAGCATCCTCACAGCTAAATTGAGGAAGTGTGGACTGGATGATCAGGTAGTGAGGTGGACTGCGAACTGGCTGAAGGAGAGAAGCCAGAGAGTTGTAGTCTATGGGGCTGAGTCTAGTTGGAGGCCTGTAACTAGTGGAGTGCCTCAAGGGTCAGTACTGGGACCGGTATTATTTAATATATTCATCAATGATTTAGATGAGGGAATTGAGTGTACTATCAGCAAGTTTGCTGATGACACTAAGCTGGGAGGAGTGGCTGACACGCCAGAAGGCTGTGCTGCCATCCAGCGAGACCTGGACAGGCTGGAGAGTTGGGCAGGGAATAACTTGATGAAATATAACAAGGGAAAGTGTAGAGTCCTGCATCTGGATTCCAGTATAGGTTGGGGAACGACCTGTTAGAGAGCAGTGTAGGGGAGAGGGACCTGGGGGTCCTAGTGGACAACAGGATGACCATGAGCCAACACTGTGCCCTTGTGGCTAAGAAGGCCAATGGCATCCTGGGGTGTATTAGAAGGGGGGTGGTTAGTAGGTCGAGAGAGGTCCTCCTTCCCTTCTACTCTGCCCTGGTGAGACCTCATCTGGAATATTGTGTCCAGTTCTGGGCCCCTCAGTTCAAGAAGGACAGGGAGCTGCTGGAGAGAGTCCAGCGCAGGGCAACAAAGATGATTAAGGGAGTGGAGCATCTCCCTTATGAGGAAAGACTGAGGGAGCTGGGTCTCTATAGTTTGGAGAAGAGGAGACTGAGGGGTGACCTTATAAGTGTATATAAATATATAAAGGGGAGTGTCACGAGGATGGAGCCAGGCTCTACTCAGTGGCAAACAATGATAGGACAAGGGGTAATGGGTACAAACTGGAACACAAGAGGTTCCACTTAAACTTGAGAAGAAACTTCTTCTCAGTGAGGGTGACGGAGCACTGGAACAGGCTGCCCAGGGAGGTTGTGGAGTCTCCTTCCCTGGAGACATTCAAAACCCGCCTGGACACATTCCTGTGTAACATTATCTAGGTGTTCCTGCTCCGGCAGGGGGATTGGACTAGATGATCTTTCGAAGTCCCTTCCAATCTCTAGCATACTGTGATACTGTGATGTGCATATGGAGAGACCTCAGAAATGAACCTTTGGAAAACAAAAGCTGACATTTTTGTCCCATGTTTCTGTCTGAAGAAATCTGAGGCAGGGCAGAATCTTCCTGAATGCCCTGAACTCACCAAGGATGGGCAGAGGAAAAAGTGGTGGGCTCATCAGTAGAGAATGGGGACATACTGTGCAGGCTGTTACTGAAAGACAACTTCTGGACAGTATCATGAGGTATTTAGGAACAAGCAAACAAGCCGAGACATTTTGTTGGTTTTCCAGTTGTGAAGAGGTGTCTTCACAGACAGCAGCATATTCACTAGTAAATGCCATTAGGGCCTCTCTTCATCAACAGGTACTTCAGTACCTTGAAAATCTAGCACAGTTAGTACCTGTTCCTTCATTGCTACCTATGGATTGATATGGCAGCAGGCAGCAGGTGGGGAATTGATACCTGACAGCAGAAAAGAAACCAGGTCTTCACAGAAAGTGCTCTGTGGGCCAGGCAAAGGATAACAACAGTGCTTGTCTGTTCAGCTACTTCTGTGAAGGAGGAGAAAGTGTTCAGCTCTGTGGTCTGCACTAGGTCTCTCTCAACCTGTATGTTTCATGGAAGGAAAATCAGATGAACAGAAATCTGGTGCAGCCCTCTAAGATGACCTTGACACTGAAAAATCCTCACACTGGTATCAGTACTGGTATCATGTCTGCATTCACTTTGGAAGATCAGCACCTGTGAGGACCCAGCTGTGCCTGCTGCAGCTTTAGCCCTGAATTTCCTGAAGAGCAGCAAGTCAGTCGTCTTCACCCCTGGTTGCATCAGCACCTTCTTGTTGATGCTCCTTGTCCAAGTGAGAAAGTCTTGGATGAGACAGTGGCAGCTGCTATTAGAAGCTCTCTTTGACTGCAACTCCCTTCTTTTCAATTAACCAATGACAAGCACTGTATGCAGTTGTGTGGTGGCAGCAGCTGCCAAAACTTACCCAGAAGTCAAGTTTTCAAAAATCAGAAGTACTAAATACTTGCATCTCAGACTTTGTGCAGCCCAATAGCGAGCAGATTTGCAGAAGCAGCTTGGGCTGTTTTCCAGGGGTGATTTTACATTTCTCTTGAAAAACAACTGAAAACAAAATCTTTTCCAGAATACAGTGGGAAACACTTTAATAATTACACGGCATGCGTTAAACTAGGAAATATTATGTGATGTCAGTATATATTTTACATCATTACATTTACGTAATTTACATTTATAAACCTAACACAAAATCACCCTCCTCCACTACAGAATTGTGTTATACATCCTGTTTTTACAGTATTCTCTGTAAAGTTTTCCATGCACATGCTTTCCTCTCTTCCCTTGCCAGATCTATCTGCTCAGTGGACCCTCAACCCCACTGTCACTCACTTTTGCTGATTACTGCATCTCGCCATACTCTTTACACAAACATTAACCAGCAAAATCATTCTGTATTGTTTCTCATACTCTAGCCTTAAGCTGTGCTTTTTTTTTTCCTTTCTGCATTTTTTCAGCTTCCCATGAGAACCAGCCTGTGAAGTACTGGCTCTCATCCTCACTATATATACACAGCACGTGCAAAGACAGCTTATATGAAGTTATGCACTGTACTACACTATACTGCAACTGCAAAGGGTTCATATAGGCCTTAAAGAGACCCTGTGTGAACTGGAGCCCCCTGCATGGGAGCCCTGACAGAAGGCAAGCACTGCTCAGCAGCCAAGTGGCAAGCAAGCAGAGGAACAAGTCTCCACTCTCAGCCTAAGGTTGACCAGACAGACCGGTGTGGTCAGGCCCTGTGATGGCTCTAAACAATTGCCCTACAAGTAACTGCTTCAGAAGCCCCTCTTCCTTCTCCCCATTCCACGCCGCTTCATCAAGAACCAGAAAGACACTGCCCAAGATAAAAATTCCCCGAGAAAACTTCAAAAGAGTTAACAGTTGTTTCCCATTTTTCCAGTTCATGGGGCAGCTTCACACACAGCTCCACTGGCACAACTGGGGTGGAACAGCACAGTGGCACAGATGAGCCAAGAACCACCACAGACAGGTACTTTATCTACCTTCCTGCTACCAGAAAAGGCAAAAGCAAGTAACTACATACACAGGCAAGGTGCAGATTTTTTTCCCAAATTCCACACACTCCATGATGTTTCCAGAACCCTTCTGCACTTTGCATTGCTGAGATGTGACACATGGGCAGAAAACTCAAGTCATAAATGAATCGATTTCTTTCATGTTTAGAAAGGGAACTAATGCTCCAGCACTAACGCACAGACAGAATCAATGTCTTCAAAGCACTGAACTGACAGTTCTGCCGTTATACATAAGGAAAGCTATTCCTTCAATAGCCAAGGTTCAACTTAGGACTTGAAACAGGCAATACGCTACGGGAGCCCCAAGAAGGGCGACAGCTTAAGACAAGTTACTTTAACAGCACGGGTGTTAAAAGCCGGCATCCCCGGGAGCCCAGCGGCAGGCGGAGGCTGCACTGCGCCAGCTGACCCGTGCCCCGGCTGGTTCAGAGGGCAGGCCGGTGCAAGCGGCACCCCCACTCCTCTGCGTGGTGTAATCACCACTCCTCTTCCCCTGGCGCTGCGGACCCGTCCCCTGCGCCGCTCCGGGTGACACCCCCCAATAGGCACGGCCGGCGCAGCGGCTGTGGTTATAACGGCCGTCGGAGCAGCCCGCGCTCCGCTCCTGGCTTCTGCACAGCGGACGGCACCTACCGGCAGCGGGCAGGTAGGGGGTCCGGCCATGGCCCCACGAGGTGAGGCACAGAGGAACCGAGGGAGGGACACGCACGTGCCGCTCGACCACCGAGGGCGGAGGCCGCCGGCCCGGTGCGCGCCGCCCCGTCGGGCAGAGGCGGGGCCGCAGCGGCCCCACGAGGCGAGGGGCGGGCGGTAGTTGTGCTTCTGCCGTTGGGGCGGGCCCCTGCTCCCTGCCGGAGGGTGGCGCGGCACCACCACGGCCGTGATTGCTAGGGCATACCGCCCTCAGGAGGAGGGGCCTGGGCGGCAGCGGCTCAACCGCGCCCGCGGCAGCCGCAGAAGCGGCGGCGAGACGCGATGGGGCAGCGGCGGTGATGGCGGAGCCGCGGCAGGAGTCGGTGGTGCGATTCCTGGCGGAGCGGGGCGGGAGGGCGCGCAACGCGGAGCTGCTGGAGCATTTCCGGGACTGGCTCACCCCCACCGAGCCCGGCCGCCGCGCCGCCGCCCGCCACCGCTTCAAGGAGCTGGTCAACGCCGTGGCCACCGTGCGACAGGAGCCCGGCAGTGGTGTCAAGTACGTGCACCTCCGCCGACGATACTGTGCGCCGGAGCCCTCCGCCGCCGCCGCCGCCCTGACCCCCGGAGAGGAGCCGGCGGCGTTGGGGGACAGCGCAGAGCGGCCGATTCTGCCGCTCTCACCGCAGGCGGGCGCTGAGGAGGCGCCGCCGCCGCCAGGCGAGGATGCTGGCGGCCGCTCTCAGCCTGCAGGGCGGCGGGGCGAAGCTCCCCGGCCGAGCCCGGCGGCGGCTGGAGGCCAAAGGAAGGGTTCGCGGCGGGGGCCGCCGCCTGGGCGCGGCGGAGGAGCAGGCGGCGGCGGCGGCGAGGAGACCGCGGTAGCGGAGGGCCCGGGGCGGCCTCCGCCGGCGGAGGATCCTGGGGCGGCGGAGGGCCCCCTCGGACCAGCGGCGCAGAGCGGTGGCCGCCGGAGCCTGCGGGAGACGGCGCGGGGCGGTTCTCCCCAGCTGAAACGTGGAGCCCTCCCCGGGGGGGGCCGCAGCCGCGGCGGCGACTCGGACAGCGCCTCGGTGGCCTCGTCATCCGCCGAGGAGGAGGGGAGCACCACCGGCGCCGTGGCCCTGGACCCCCTGGAGCACGCCTGGATGCTGTCGGCCTCGGACGGGCGATGGGAGAGCCTGGAGGGGCTGCTAAGCTGCGAGCCGGCGCTGCTGTGCAAGCGGGACTTCATCACCGGCTTCACGGTTCTGCACTGGGCCGCCAAGCACGGGCGGCAGGAGCTGCTGGCCACGCTGGTCAACTTCGCCCAGCGGCACCAGCTGCCTGTGGATATCAACGCCCGCACCAGCGGCGGGCACACCGCGCTGCACATAGCCGCCATGCACGGGCACGCCGAAGTGGTGAAGCTGCTGGTAGGAGCCTACGACGCCGATGTGGACATCCGCGACTACAGCGGGCGCAAGGCCGCCCAGTACCTGCACCAGGGCACCTCGGGGGATATGCGCAGCCTCGTGGGTGCCCTGGAGGAGGAGGAGGAGGAAGAGGAAGGGGCCACTGGCAATGGGAGCGGACGCTGGCGGCTCTCTAAGGTGTTGCCCTCCAATCTCATGAGCTACCGCCTTTCCCACCACCACCACCATCACAGCGCTGGGGAGGAAGCTGAGGGCACCGAAGGGGCAGCGGTGCCAGGCAAGGGCAAGGAGATGACCAGGAAAGCCTCCGGCAGCGGGCGGATGAAGCCTCGGCTTAACAAGATCCGCTTCAGGACTCAGATCATCCACAACACTCCCTCCTTTCGCGGTGACGCTGAGGAGGAAGAGCACGAGGAGAAATCTCTGAAAGCATCGTTCAAGCTCAGGCCAAAGTCCAATGTCTTTGGATAAGGCCGAGGACCAGGAGGTCTGGGAAGTGGGCACATGGACCAAAAGGTGTAGCACAGAAGGTGAGGCAGGTACTAGTGGGTGCTAATCCACACCCACAGACTTGGCAGGTGGGGTTTGAGTATCTTAACTCCCAGTTCGGTGGGGTCAGTGATCCCAGTGTGTCAGCAGGGGCTCTGGTGGCTTACAGCTCCCGAGAGCAGCTGCTTCGGCTGGGCTGTTGGTGCTGAAATGAGAGGCTGGCTGTGGGTGCGTTGGGAAACACTGGGGTGTTTAAAAGCTATGCTCCTTTTTCTCTAAAAGCAGCCTTCAGTGTTGGAAACCTGTGTTAGTGAATCTGCTAGGATTAGCGAGTTGAGTGAGGGAGAGAAAAGTACAAATGCTCTACTCTTATATTATCAACCGGTACTATTAAAATACAAACATCTTGCTATGTCAGAAGAACACCTCAGTTATATGCAAATATATTTCAAGTTTCTCTTTGACAGCAATATCACCTTGCACATTGTGGAGTTAGGTACCCTAAATGAGATGGTAGATAATGGTTTCTTGTCAGAATCCAAGCTTCAATCCATCAAAGACTTAAGCTTGTGTTGACTTTATGCATTGAAAATTGCCTCATTTGACATCGTAAATATATTTTTCTAAAAAATAATCCTTTGCACTGCAAACAATGAATAAAGTTAACCACATGCAGAAGTCTCTGCTGTCTGAGGTACTACTGAGCTTGCTTACCTTACCGCTGTTAGAATGCTAATGCAAGATAATGGAAGCAAAGAGTCTTTTTATATATTTGGTATCTTATGTTTTGTCTTAGGCAAAGCAATTTTATTTTAATCACTGTGAATTCTCAAGTGCCAGACCTAGTGCAGTTCCAGTAATTAAGTCTGGTCAGTTCTTGTTAATGTTGTTTGTGTAGCTCACTGCATTTAAAATCAGAAAATTTGCTGAAAATGTGTTGTGTGTGCTACCTGTGAAAGTCATTCTCCTTTAGAAAAGAGCGCAGACACCACTGCATGAAATCTTCATGAAACACTAATACGGTCCTGTAATGTAATAGCTACAGGTCTGGGTTCACTAGTGACTTCTGTGCCAATCCCTTCAACTGACTCTGTGCAGAAATGCAGAAAAAAATTCAAAAGAGAAAGAAGAAAAAGAGGTATGTGAATTCACACATAGGGTGAATGATTAGAACTCTGAAACTATCCCTGTTTATCATCCTGAGTGAAAGCAGTCTAATGACATGTTCTAGGCAAGTGATGGCAATGGTGTTTGGGTTCTTTTAAACCTGTATTTCCTGAGAAGTGATAACCAAGTCTTTGAACTCTTGTTTAACAACCTGGCGAGTCTTAATCTGATTGACAAGCCTATCCGTCTGCTAAAGCTTTCAGAAACCTTGAATCTTGTTTCTCTGCTTTAAAGGTAGCAATATCAGTGAAATCTAGGAGGCAGATTTGTATCCAGAGTCAGCTTTCCTTAGGAATGAGGTATTGAGCTGACCCTGGATCCTAAATGCTGCTCACAGTAGCAGCTCATAGGTGCTACACTATTAAGGTACCGCCAGTTTCAATGCAACATTTGTCAAAGCATGTTTCAGGTTGGCTTCCTCGGAATGCCTGTGCATGTCTGACTAGTAACTAACCAAAAGTAGATAGTCTTTTATGTGTTAAAATCCAGATCTAAGACACTGATTAAGTGCATGTCACAAGCTCTAGAACACCTCACGGGGAAACTGCTGCTGAGTGTTGAGCACTTTGAAGGTAACAGCTGTCTAGCTGTTGCTGGTGGCTTATATTTCTTGTAGCAGCAGGGGAAGGAAGTGATAGCGATTCATTGGTTTCAGACTTCCCATGCAGATAAATTACCAATTCCTGCTCTTTATGTCAAAACCTAATGAATGGCAGTATTTGCATAGGCTTGCAAGCGACACTTTGCTATTTCTGGGAAAAGTTATGTGAGGAAAAAAAAAAGAATCTCTGCATAGCATTAACTTTTGCGCAGAAAGACTTGGAATTATACAGAGGTTCAGCTTTAGTTTACAGTTTATAAACTATATTATTATAGATTTCATGTGCCTTCATTTTGGATTGGTTGCCACAAATACGATGGGTAAAATCACACTTGCAAAGCACTTTGTCTTTACATCTGTAGGACAGGACCAGAAATGTTCCCTCAGCCCTTCCCAATGAACCTGTAAACTTATACAATATGGGGTGTCTGAAAGGGGATTAATAATCATACGGATTACACCATAGAGCTAATTCTTTTGTAACAAACAAGAGAATTAAATGCCTAAGTCTTAAACTTCCTTCACTCTGGAAGATAAATAAAACTGCTATTTATTAGACTTGTGTAGAAAGGAGGTTTCCTGACTGGACACTTGGCAACATGAGCTCTCTTCAGCATGGGCACTTCTGAATTGAGCACGTATTCCATACAACTGCCGTTGTCGAAATCTCATTAAGCTAACCTTCTGCTTTGAGAGTTTATAGTTCTTTCATATGAGCTGTTGAGCAAAGTGTTAATCTCATCACATGCAAATAGCAAAGAATTGCACAAAAATATTGAGTCTTAGGTAGCTGTTGGGGTCTGGGGAAATAATTTGAGGGTTTCAGTGCTTTGGGATTTGGAATATAGAACACTTTGGATTTTAAAAGGCTAACTGGAACATAGTTTTATCTTGCATAACACAGTGGCACTTCAGTAGTTACTAGGGGAACTTGGAAAATAGTAAGAAGATGCCTCATTTATAACTCAATATTTGAAGTATCGAAGTGAAACTGTTGGTCTACTAATACTGTTGAGTTGTCAGTTCACGAAATTTCACCATAATGGTCCAGAGGTCTTTGCGGCGGTGGGGGGGTGATGTGAACAGAGCAAACACCTCTTTTGGTGTTTGTGATATGTTGACAAATGGCTAGAAAACCACTAGAGTCTGTCTGTGCTACAGGACTGAAGCACTTTGGTTTCACATTATGACTTGTTACATTCCACATGGTTACTTTTTATAACATGAGCTAAAACTTAAGGTTTTTTGGACATAGGAAAGGCTTGATGCCCTATGTTTCAGAATATTTACAGTCCAAAGGTACGTTTGAGTCAAATATTTTGGATACATTGCCTAGAAAGATGTGAATTTGAAATAAAGTTGTATGGTACAGAAAACTGGAGCACTTAGTGTTGTCTTTTTAATGGTATGCCTGAAGTTACTGAATGTGTTAATTCACTTTTTATGATGGTGTGTAAGGCAGCAAGACTGTAATGTAAACATCTAATATCTTTTATTGTATCTTATGTTTAAAATATTTTAGAGGCCTGAAAGCCTGCCAGTTTTTATTAATACAACTTTTTATGGGTTTCTTCCTGAATGGATATGTGTTAACAAGCTGTAAGCTTTAGTTTTACTGAAATAAAAAGAGCCCATTAATTGTTTATGCTTGAATTGACTTCTGTATGCTACATGCTTAGGTGCTACTTGCATATTGGCTGTTAAAATTATGTACCATTTTGTGGTTAGGGGTTTTTTTGTCATGAAGATGTCTGATATCATCTAACACTCAAAGAGTAAGACACGGAAAAAATACAGTTAAGTTGTTTGCAAGACAGTAACATTTTTCTTTGACAGTTACTCTCTAATAGCTCATGTCAAAGTAAATGAAGACAACAACTTTTTTCTTCTAGAGAAGTATGTCTAAATAAGGGCCTGGGAGAGTGGCATTGCTTAACTTAAAATAGTGTCCTGACCTTATGCCTATGCAGCTAAATATCTCTGACTCTGGGAAGACTAATACTAGTTTTGATCACTGTGTAAAGGTCAATACCTAATTAAAAAAGGTTTAGGATTAAGGCTTTTTGTAATGTGTCTTAACTACAGCTGGCAGCTTCTCTAAAGGGAAGTTTCATTTCATTACCAAGCTAGACTATGGGATTTTGGTGTATCTAAAAATTCTCTGAAGCTGTTGACTTACCAAAATATGTGTTAAAACTAGTAAACCTCTTGGTGCCAGTAAGTCCTCTGAGAGACATCCAGATTTGTGCTTAGACTGAAAAAAAGGCTCAGCTGTTACCATGCTGGTGGATCAGGATGCACACAGTTCCAAACTAAACAACCCCAACTCAGAAGTTTGGGGACACGACTGAAAAGGAGAAGGGAAGAGGAAGCATTCTTGGAAGATTAGGGGAGAGTGGGAGCCTGTGGCAAGCAGCTGAGGTTATGGGTGAGGTGGAGGACTCAGTAGGAGAGCAGTCTATGTAATCACTTGACTAATTGTTTAGAAAATTGTATCTGAAATATATCCCTCCTCCTACAGACTAACAGTTGAGTGAGATGTCTTGCAGAGAGCTCTAATATAAATTAATGTCTGACGCTAGGTACTGTAGCTGTTCTCTTAACAACATTTCTTAGTGTAGCTAGTACTGTTTCCAAAGCACAAACAGCCCTACAGCTGTTGTAGCAGTGTCCTGATACATCAGGATGGCCCCACTTAACTTTAGGCTTCTCACTTGGAGAGGAGCTCTTCTTCATTGCATTACTAAATTATTTTTTCCATTGACTAGAAAGGAGGGGCAAGGGCATACAGCCCTGACTTCATGTGCTTTGAGTTATATGGAACACATATGAACCTGAAGGCAATAGATTAAACTTCAGAGAGTTCATCGAGAAAGAAGTAGTTTAATCATGCGTTCTGGTTCCCTGTTGGCATTGAATTTAAAAACAAAACAAAATAACAGAGGTACATATTGTCATTTTTTTCCCATGTGCGGAGAGAAGGAATAAGTCTGAATTTGCTGTTAGCATTTGGGAGAGCTCTTCAGTTTGTGTTAAGCTGTGAACAGTTTGATAGAAAAAAAGTGAAACACAGGATTTCAAATTACCAGGGGTTTTTATAATGAAACATCATTTTTTTGCAGCTGTTCCAGAATTTATCTTGTATCATATTTCAGTTTAATTAATACTGATGTGTCCTGATATACACGTATTACTGGAAAAGCTGAGCCAAGCTACCACGTTTTGTTCATTTGTTTTTAACAGAACTGTTACAGGGGAGGTATTTTGTCTTCTGTCATAAAACCTGAAGAACAGTTACCCTGAGATTTTTACAAGGAGTCAAGCTGCTAGTGGCATGTGGAAGAATTACTTTAAAGGCAGGTAGTATTCGGGTCAAGTGCAAAAGCATTGTGTTATTTCACCTAGATTAGTCATGCCAAATGAACCACTGTGGTTTATGTGCACTTACCCTTCTGTATAGACAACCATAAACTGTCTCCTCCCCTAGATTTCTGGGAAGCATGAGAAGAATTTAGCAAGTCATACTAACCTGTTTGAATGTGTCCTTATTTGATTAAAAGGCATTTTGAAAACCTGTGGTAGGACTGTCAAGAGGTGCCAGTGGAGGTCAAAAGATATCTGTGTCCATGCGTGCCTTTGCACTGATTTCAGGTAAATCACTGAAGCTTACTGCTGTAAATCTAAAGCAGACAGCCTACAGAATGTATCCTTGCATCTGCCCTTGTACACACAGAGAGACTTCGGAAACTTAATCTTAAATGCTTCTAACCACCAGCATAAATCAGTTGCTTGGGCTGTACCCGGAACTAGCCCTAGCTTTAGTTGAAACACTGAGAAATTCATCAGTATTTTAACCCTGAAGGAAGATGCCTTTCACTTCTTCTAGCTGGCTGTTGAGCTCTACCAGTTATTTCACTTTGCAGTTCCTTAGAGTGCCTGAGAAACTGGTAGTAGAGTGAGTATAAATAAGAGATACCTCTTTGAACCTGTTTGGGATGATTGTTCTTTGGGTGGGGTGGTTGGTTTTTCTGGTGGTGTGGTTTGCTTTGTTTTGTTGTTGTTTTTTTTTGTTATGGGACGTTAAGATTAAGATAAAGGATGTCTGCAGTATTTGTTGGGGCACAGAAATCCCTTGTAACTGTTCATGCTAAGTAGGTGCTGTGCCTTTTACTGCTTTTAATACAGAAAGACAGAATTAACTGTGCAGGGTATAGAGATGTCCTCTGTCACCGGACATAACGTTGCAGGACATAAAGCCTCAAAGTACCTGAAAAAGTGTTTGTAACTCTTGAACATATAAGGACATTTATTTGCTATTTCTTTTTGGTGTTCCTTGTCACATAGCATCTCGCTATATGTATATCTCCGG